CCAAACACCCTCGCTATCATGCATTTTGTATTAGTACCATTTGGTCCCAAATGCTATTTATGGAAAGTGTCTAGATTTGCTCATTTGACATATTTACGGAATGTAGAGATTGTCTTGAACACAATGGTGTTCATCCCGTGTCTAAATTTGCAATCTAGGGACATTCCATATTTAATAAGTTTCGAACTTGTCCTAGAGACTAACTCTTGGTACTAAGGGAGGCTTGGGGTGAAATCCCAAAGCATGTGTTCCTCAAGAGGGGGGCAGGGGTTGTGGGGGGTTCCAAATATATAGTAAGGATAGTGGGTAGGTTGGGTATGGCCGACCAACCTAAGATATAGTCTAGCTCCCATTTGTGTGCTTATCTTTGTTTTGCGTCCGACTTGGGTCTAAGCCCAAGTTCCATTCCATGTTAGTTGATGGAGTACCCATATCCTCACGTTAGGCCACCGGTATGCCAAAATAATGCCAAACTCCGTTTGGCTTTGTTTTGCATGCTGATCTTAGCATTGGGATATTGGATGCTCTAGGATTGTTCCAAGTTGTTTCATACTCCTGTCCTTTCACTCCTTGGGCTATATACTTGGAAGTCATTCCGTACTCCAATGCCATTGCTCCTTAGCTCCATGCTTGGGAGTTTAACACCATTCCTTTGTTTAGTGGCTTAAGGCCTTGAAACTCGGGTTTCGCACCATTGTCTTTTAGATATATGGCATATGATATGTGGCACATAGAGGGTTTAGGTTCTACTTCGTGGTGTTATCCTATGGTAAATCAGCATAGGATAAAAGGTAAAAACCACATACATTACAGGTATGGATTTTGATTACCTTTTCATACTAGATTATGTAAGCTTGCTCTTGGGCTCATCAAATAGATTGAGATGTTCTGTTTGCACAAGTTTGCACTTGGGCTTGTAAATGAGGCACGTTAGCAACTCAAGGTTACACTTTGAGTTGGCACGATTATTGTTAACTTATTAATGGTTCCAAAAGTTGTTCCTTACACCATGGGTAAAAGTAAACCTCCTTTAGGTTTGCTAAGAGTGGCAAATAGGCTAATCCATAGCTATTTAGCATGCCATCCTTCCTAGGCTTGATTACAAGTGGATCAATCAAGACTATAGGAATTAATCTATTAGTTCAAGTAATCATTGCTATGCTCTTTCATAAACTTTTCTTGGATTGAACTGAAGGCAGTGTGAACACAAGCCTAAGGTTTGGTTAAAGATGAGACCGAAAAACAAGTTATTAGAGACGAAGGATCAAATATGTAAATCATCTTATTTTCTTGGACAGATGATTTGTAACGAGGTGTGTGTATACACATCATACAATCAAGAAGTCCCTGTTTTGATGCATGTTGGAAGTGATGGTTTTACAAATGATGAGTTATGAGATGGATAGCGGTGAAGCGTTAAACCATTTTATTTAAGCTTGCTATTGAAGGTTTAGGTTATAATACTCAATTCTTTTCAGGGGAACCTTGTTATTACTCTTTGAGTAGCTCAGTATTAGATTAGTTTTGAGTTTGGTCCGAAAGAGAGTGGCATAAGATTATCCATGTTGTGAACAAAAATTAGTGGTGTTAAGTGTTGTAAATCTCTAATCAATAGAGTGTGGTATTTATGTTGCATTTGTCGAATTGAGTTGGCACTTGATATTCACATAAACTTTTGAAGTAATAACATGGGCATTGTTTATGGTGTTGCTCAATTGATGATCAAGTCATTGTGATTTTATATCATATCTATGTGATAATGAGCAATATGTTACTTGACAAAAACCCTTGTGTGTTGATATTAGTCCCTCAATATCGCTGGATGATACCGTGTCAGCCAAACACCCTTTGTATGTGTTAATACCATTTGGTTCTAATTGCTATTTATGAAAAGTGTTTAGATTTGTTAATTTAGCATATTTATGGAATGTAGAAATTGTTTTAAACACAATGGTGTTTATCCCGTGTCCAAATTCACAATCTAATACCATTCCATATTTGGTAAGTTTCAAGTTAGCCCTAGAAACTAACTCTTAGCACTAAGGGTGGATAAGGGTGAAAGCCCAAAGCATGTGTTCCTCGGGGGTTCAAATGTATAGTAGGGATAATGGGTAGATTGGGCATGGTTGACCAACTTGAAGCTTAATTTAACTCTTGCTTGCATATTTATTTTTGTTTTGTATTTGGCTTGGGTCTAATCTAAACTTAAGTTTCACACTATATTAGTTGGTGGAGTACCCATATCCTTGAGTTAAGTCACTGGTATGGTCAAATAGCACTAAACTCCGTTTAACTTTGTTTTGCATGTTAGTCCTAGCATTGGGATATTAGATGCTCTAAGACTGTTCCAAGTTGCTTCGTGTTTTTGTCCCTTCAATCCTTGTGTTGTATACTTGAGAGTTGCTTTGTGCTCTGGTTCTATCGCTAATTAGCTCCATATTTAGGAATTTGGCATTATTCTTTCATTCAGTGGCCTAAGGCCCTAAAACTTGGGTTCCACTCCACTGTTCTTTGGACACGTGGCATGTGGCATGTGGCATGTGACATGTGATATGTGGCACATGGAGGGTTTAGGTTCCACTTTATGTAAATCACCATAGGATAAAAGGTAAAAACCATATACACTCCACATTTTCACCTATAGCCAATCCCTTAGTATTATAAGTCACATCCTATTATTGCCTTACTACTGCCCACCCACCCTCTCTCATTGTCATTACTATTTTGAATCTCAGCTTGCCCATCATTATGGCAATTGAATCCTTATCCCTAGCTTACAGCCCACACATCATCACTTGCTACTGGCAATCTAATTGTTATCCCTTCCCTATAGCCCACATCATCATCTGCTAGCAATCAACCAAGTGGCCATCCAAACCATACATGTCATGAAGCCATTCATGGCCCTATTGGCAAGCCATTCCATGGCCCCTACAAATATTCTAAAACCCTAGAATGGTTATATATTCTCTGAGCCAAATTGCAAGCTGCTATGGGCTTCAATTGTAAGTTGAACTTAGTTGACCTTGATTGTCTTTGGTTGTCCTCAATTAATGTAAGGTTGTCTTCAATTGTCTTATGTTGTCACTAGGTTGTCTTTTGTTTGGATCCTTTATTGTAAATTACTTTGGAAATTACACACCATACTTTGAACTGAATTACATCCAGCCTATTGAAGTTAACTACTCTAGCTATCTGAAAACTTGAAACTTTTGTGAGAAAAATAATGGAGTGGAGAGCTCTTACCTGGAAAGGGCAAGAGATCACAATGGCCACAGTATTGCCCACCATCTTGGTCTGGGACACTAGCCGCTCTTGGTTTACTTATATCACAAGATTTATCAGTGTGTCAACCTTATTCACCATTAAACCATGAAGCATGGCCTATTTGTCTAGCAAATGCTCTATAAATCAGTGACAATGTTAATGTGAAACACCACCACCTCCTGCTGTTTTAGATTGAGAAATTTAATTAATTTGGCTACTTTTCTAGCAATCAGAAATTAATCAAAGTGTATAAGTGGTTGGTGAGTAATAATTTGCTGTGTTATGCAGCAATTCTTGGATGTGAGAAAAAATATATATATTTATTAATTTTTAAAATTATTTGGACTTGATAATTACTAAATAATTTGAAATTTAAAAGTAACAGAACGTATGTACGGACACATCTCGATTGATTTCATCTGGTTTGCTTTGTGGAAATGGGAAGGTATGGATGGAAACTCGTGATCCAGAGACTAGATCTGGGGTAGATTGATGGAACTTGGGTAGAAGTGGCAGCAGAGAGATCGTGAACTGCCCTAGGATGTTGAGGGGGAGGGCAGGATCTCTTGTACTCGGGGACCCGTTCTAAGGGACAGATTTCCGAGGAGATTTGTTCTACACCTCTATCACAACGGGGAAGGACGAAGACAACGGCGGCACCAAGACAGAGGACTATTCTGGATGTTCACATACTTCCAAAGTTTTGAGGAGAATTGGATGAAGATCCATGTGGAGAGTGTGAAGTCGTTCTTGGCTGCCATGGCAATCCCAGAGGACTCTCTTATTTCCGTTTGTCACTCTGGACAAGCTCTCTCATGGCCACTCAGCATCACTCCACAACAGGCTGCGTATTTTGAGTCCCTGACCAAGCCTTTCCTTACTCATCATAGAGTATATGGCGGAGCTTGATCTCCTCCGCCAACAACCTCAAGAGTCTCTTCAGCAGTTTCATCACCGTTCCCACACATATATTCAGAAGTGTAAAGACAAAGTGGTAGACGCGACAAATTTGAGAGTACATCCAGACTTGGCATGGAAGGTGCGGAGAAAAGATGGTTGAAGGAGCGATTTTGGAGGCAGAGACTCAGGAACATAAGCACCTAGTCGAGATGGGATCTGCTTCAAATGCCTCGGCCTTCACAGTCGACTTCGTCATAGCACTGGCCAACAAGGTATTTAGGCACTTGATTTTGTTTCATTAGAGTTGGAAAGTCTCTTCTTTTGTCTTTTCTTTTCTTTACAAAGGACTTTTGTAGTCAAGTCTCCTCAGCCAATAAAAAAAAGTACAACAATGAACTTTGCACCACATTTGCAATTTCTTGGACTGAGTGAAGCATAGCACAAGCCTGGGCTACACACACAGCTAAAACCCTTGTGGCACTGTAAAGTCCACATGCTAATTAACCTTAATAAAATCATTGAATAATCAATTGATTAATCTTGAAATCATGAATTTATCAATCAACATAGCATGAATTGATCAATTAAATCATGAACTGATCAATCAAATCATGAACTGATCAATCAACTCATGAATTGATCAATAAACTCATGATTTGCTCATTTATAATTCAATTAATCTGTGATTGATTCAAATAAAACAGTCAATAATAAAGCACACTTTGTCCACTGTATGGAAGGCCATATATTAACTGATACACCTGTTTATAAAGGTCATGGAAACACACTGTATCCTAATTTAAGTGTTTGTGTTGGAGAAGTTTGGGGGTGTGTTGGTCATAAGGAACTGTTAAGTCTTTGATTATATACAATGTAAAATATCATTTAGCTTGGATGATTAATTCTTTTAGAGCCTTGATCGCATAGCAGGAAACGTTAATATGATCCTCTTTTTGACTGCACTGTCATCTTTAAAGTCGTGCTGCAGATCAAAAACGTCTTCTACGATCATGCTTGCAACGTCCTCAAGCTTCTTCACAGTCCGTTCTTCTAGGTGGTGTTGCTTGACTTCTTCTATTTGTTCTTGGGCCATTAATCCTTTGGTTTGTTCCATCGAACCACCAGAAACCTCGCAGAGAAACTTTGATACAGCTCGTTTGTAATCTTCGGTGTGGTGTCGCAAATGTGCTGTGGCGGACAACAAAAGCGAGTGAGCTTGATCCAGAGTGAAAGGAAACTAAAAACTCACCAACGTGATCAGACTCTTCCCAGTGAACTAAAGTCACCTTCTTGAAAGTTTGGCCTTGCACTTCCGAGACAAATTTTTCGATAACGTCGAATGGAGCTAAATCGTCATTTCTTGAGCACAAGAACAAAGCCGGTGCCATTTCCTGCATGGACGACAATGAGATATACTTGCATGGGCTACGAAAGTTCTACAATACCACGGCGGCGTAGAACGAGTCATTTAGCTCGACTCCCTGTTGCTCGAAATTGGAGCTAAACATAGACTCGAGAGCTCGGCCGCTCTTCTCCAGGCCAAACTTCACCGCGAAGTTGTTCCCCACACTGGTCCCAAGCATTCGCCTGGCGAAGCGAATCCCAGTCTCACTCACAAAGTTGATAGGAGTGGAATCGAATATGTAGCCTGCTGTGCAATCTCTCACAATCTTGTACTTTTCCTGAAGAAAAGAATTGAAATAAAACCGCCTTTAGCTGGGAAGAACTTTCAGCATACCATATCGCCCGTGAAACCTTGTGGACGTTTTCCTTGTAGAATCTGAGTGACCCGAAGACGATGATCGCAAAGGAATAAATGTAATGGAAAGGACACACCTGGATGATCATATATGTGCAAGCTTTCATGCCTCCAGAAAACGAAGTAAAAGTTACTGGCCTGGGCCTTTTGCTAAGCTCCTGCATATAAGAAAATGGTCTCAAGTTCATCCCTGGAGAAGGAGAATACCTCTACAAGCTCGTCCAAAATCTTCACAGCAATTGCAAGAGCTCGGGTGGGAAACCATCTACCAAAATGACGCAAAATCATGTCTGGCGACGAAAGAAAGGGATAAACAAAGCGAGAGCTTACAGATTGAGGAAATGCGCTTGACAAACGAGGCATTCCCAGCCAATTTCGTTGAAGAGATGGACGTAGGGCATATGATACCTCTTGTTGCTAAACATCCACGCCATCATCACTACCAATCCGCTGGAATCGCCGGCGCCGCGGCTCTTCTTGTCCCGGATCCAGTACCAGGAGCCCTGCCCGATCGATCCGCCCTGGCGGCATCGTCCCATTTCTCTCAAGCGAAGAAACAGTGACCAAGGAAAAGAAAAAATAGACCTAATTTTGATTGGCTTTGGAATTTTCAAATTTAGACGGCTAAGATTTGCCGATAGATTACGTCGGGAACTAGAACTTCCGGCGCGGAATGGCCAGCCAGCAACAGATCAAACAGTAAGCAATCGCATAAACCCTAGCTATCGGAGGCCGCGGCGGATGGACAATGTGGAATTGACGAGCGCGGCGGGAGGAGCGGCGGGGGGCGGCGCTGGAACGCATTTGCCGGAGAGAGAGTATCCATCGACGCAGGTGTGCTTGACGTGATCCGCCCAGTGCCTCGCCCAATGGACGCCCATCACCGCCACCACCACGATCACGAGGATGAGAAGGCAATAGATGAGCTTGCACGCCTTGCCCACGAAACACATCGCTGGATCCGGATGCCTGTGCTAGCAGAGAAAACCCTCTCGATCGATCGATCCCAAAGCCCTCTTTCCGGATTCTCGCAGACCTAAAAGCCAAATACTTTTATGAGAATTCCAACGGTCACATGACTCGCGCGAAGAACATTTCCGGGCATATTCTTCTAGGTTTGGCTAGAAAATATTCTTAGGTATATACTGCGCAGCGTGACCTATCCCACTAGCCGGGGCGTGGAATTGTGCCAGTGGTGGTGTATAAAATCCCGCGCGGGCCCAATAATAATTTTATCTTTGCGCTTGGGGCAATGACGCAGTTCATGAGGTTTTACCGAGACGCGTCAATTGCTGGTTGAAAACTATTTCCAAACCCCCTCTTCGTGTCTCCTTCGGGAGGCCGTCGAGAATTTCTGGAAGGCCCGCCCTAGGCTCGGGCCTACAAATTTTAAATCTAAGTTGAAATCTTCGTCCTAGGCAGGAACTTGAAAGGAATAACTACTTTTCAACTTTGATTTAAAATTCTTTCGACTAATAGATCATTCTAATAACAAGCCAAGGTTTTTGTTCTTATATTAATTACACTCCTACGTCGATGTTAAAGTTAACTATTGATTTAAAATCTAATAGATCATTCTAATAACAAGCCAAGGTTTTTGTTCTTATATCAATTACACTCCCACGTCGATGATCGTAATCTAACGCTAGCGAACGAGATATTCAAACAAAAAATATCAAGGACAAAATCGATGTCAACTTAACGCCATTAAACAAAGGGAGGGTGATACTTCATACTTCTTGTAATCAGAAGAGGCGGATCCGGAAGAGCCAGGGCAGGAGCAAGATGACGACGATGAAGGCGAGCACAAAGTTGCAAATGGGCCTGTGCTGCCAGAAGCTGCGCGGGCGATGGGGATCGCCCGCCCGCTCGAATATGGTGTCCGATTGCTCGTCGCTGTGTCGCCCGCAGCTCGAATCGTCCGCGCCAGCAGCCACATTGTGGGCGAGCTGGCCACAGATCTCGCAGTTCCTGCAAAACCAGCAAACAAATCCTTAGAACGCGGGATAGAACATAAACCCTAAAAACCGGGGAAGCAGGGGAGGCACTCGGGCTCGCCGATCCGGCGAGACGAATTTCCTGCCCTGCGCAATTGGGTCCGACTGGGATGATGATTCCCGCGGACCCAAATCGGGGATTCCGTTAATTCAATGCTGGATTGAATCGCGGCGGGGGACACGAGGAGCAAAAACTCTTTTTTTTCTATGTCTCGTACCTGTTGCCTTTGATCTTGAACCAAGTCTCTGCGCAGCGGCGGTGCGCGAATGCTAGATCGTCCTTGCACGCGCAGCCGAGCTCAATTGGGCTGGAGGCGATCCCCTCGTCGACTGGATCGCCTGGATCCTCCTCGTGATCGCTGGAGCGCTTCAGGCCGAGCGAGAGATGGCACACTCTACAAATTCTGGCGTCTTCCTCGTCCCCACCACCGAGGGGCTGCGGTGGCTTGTGTTCTTCAAAACCCCCTTTCGTCGGTGGAGGAGGAGGATTTGTGGAGAGGGATTGGATCTCTATTGCCACGAACCCCCCCTCTGGATCCTGCGCTTTTGATCCGGCCGAGCCATCACCGATACTTGGCGCTGATAAGGACAAAGATGTTGATTCCAGCTCCTGGCTGGGAGATCTCCCGATCTTCTCCTTCCTCTCATCCAATTCTTCCACTGCATGCTGCAAATCTGTGGCATTTTCCTGCCGGGAATCACCCATAAATCCCTCTTCAGCAGCACGCAAGCATCGATCGATTCCCTCAAGAACACGCAAAGAGGAGGAGAATCAATGCTTCTCGCGTCGTTGTGGTTCCATGTAGCGAGATAGAGAGAATATTCATCCCCTATCCAAGAGAGCAGAGCGAAAAAAAAACTACCTCGTCAAAATAGGGAAGGAAAATAAATCGCAGTAGATCTACCTACACAGCACCCTAATTTGTACCTCTTCCAAGAGGACTTATTTGGAACTCTTTCTCTTTCCCCGAAGCGTATAAACTTAGAAAAAGTTTTGACAAAGCCACATTATTAACTTTAAACACACCACGTAGATTCCGTGCATTTCTTCCGTGTCACGGAATAGTACGTGAGTACAACACGCCTTTCGTACGCTCCTGTTAAAGTCCCTGTCTTGTTTTGTCCAGAGCGAGCCAAAAACAAAAGCTTGGCCGCCCAAAGTTGTTTAGATTAGAAGAATAAAAAACAAACCAAAAAAACCAAAGAAGATTCCTGGACTGTCCCTGTTGTTGCAATGTTGATCGTCCCTGTGAGCGAGCTGGAAAGAAATGGATTGGAAAAGCTTCGATCGAGATTTTAAGTACCTCCCTGGGGCGATAGCAATGAAAAGTTTTATAGCTTGAGCAAATGTACCCGGAAGAGCCACGGTAAGAACGGGATAACCACGCACAGCGACAGCAGCAAGTTGCAAAGAGCACGCTTGACGGTGTAGGAGTTCTCCTCTTGCATCTCCACATTGAGCTCCACGCTCATGACGAGATGATCGGGTCTTCGAGCGATGGCGCGATCAAAGCTTACGTTCTCGGCGGCCCGGCCGCATATCTCGCATGTCCTGGAGTAAAGAAAACTTCAACAACACTAGAGAAATGCGAAGAAAATGAGAGCTTTGAGCTTGCTTACTTGCTGCCCTTGATCGTAAACCACGTCGCTGCACAGCGTTGATGAGCGACCGCTAGCTCGTTCTTGCAGGAGCAGCCGAGCTCGATCGAGACATCGGCCTCGAGTGGAAGATGGCACACTCTGCAAACTCTGCCTTCTGCTGCTCCATTGGACTCGAGACTGTCCGGGCTTCGCTCGTGTAGCCTCTCTAGTTCTTGCTTAATTGCTGATGGAGCCGTTTCGTCCACATCTACGGCAACAAAATCCTGACTACACTGCTCGACCTCGGATTTCCTGGCCTGTCTGGTCTCGTTTTCTTCAGGCTCTGATATCATTACTGTCTTGTCACTTGAGAGATCCAAATTTCCTTCCCTTCGAGTATGTGTGTGTACCTCGGGACGCTTTCAGGATAATCGCCTAGTTAGCATTCCTCCATCTGATTCCTGACGAATGAACAGGAGCAAACAAGAGCATTTAGTCCAGAATATTGCAGAGCGACAAACAAAACTATTTCACCCAATTCTTGCCTCTTTGTGTTCAGAGCTTAATTCCAGCGACAACTTGGTAATTACAAGAACACGTGGTAAGCTCTAGCCCCGGAAAGAATCTTGTACCTCGCTCATAAAATGTTAGCGGCTTCCGGTGTAAGCAAGCTGACATTCACGTCAAAACACTGGGAGGTTCCAACAAGGCGTTTTCGTGTCAGATAAGCTTAGACTACAGCGTGTACCTCGCTTTCACAATATCGCCTTTGACCAATAAACCAGTGCTGAAACTCTTCAAAATAAGAGCCACATATCGCATCGCGTATTGCTTGGAAAAACGAGAGGTAGTGGTGAATGTTATGCCTGCAAAGGAATAACGTCAACGCAAGCTCCAGAAAATTAGGAAAAGAAAGCCTACATGTCAAGCAAAGTTTGAGCAACCATCTCGTGTGTGTTTAGCAAGTGATTGATGTACGCTCTCGTGTGCTTTTGGCATGTATAGCAGGTACAACCGGGCTTGAGGGGAGTCACGTCGCATCTATAAGCATCAGCCACACTTTAAGCCGGAAAACACTATCTAGGACATAACGTAAGTTGGACATATAGCAATACCTGTAAGCTATTGATCGGAGGTTTATTTTCGTGAAGTCTGCACCGAGCCCGGCTCCATCTTCCAGAGAAAATTTCCACGGCTTTTCGTCCATCGACAGTGGAAAGGTCATTGCATAGCCTCCTTTGGTCAGTGTATGCGCGTAGGTGCTGTCGAAGATATCGACACCAGTAGAGACTGCTTGCAAAATTTCCTCTGGCACAATGGATTAGTCACACAAGTTGGAATGCGATAAATCATCGATATACCTGGCATTCCCAGGCCACTGATAATTCGTGGAAGGTCTTTCGGCAAGCAATCCTAGAGAGCACAGAAAACACCTCAAACGCCAGTTGCATGAATCAAAATCTATATCTATCAAATGATATCATGTAGCTTACAGTAACACTTTGCAGCAATGTCAAGCGATCCTCTGGGCTTTCCCCAAGTCCAAAGCCGCCTATGAAAAAGCCTACAGTCAAGGAGTCATCACAAAAATGAAAACGAATACGGAGACTAAGTTCTAGAATATAAAAATGTACTCGCCTGAGACGTTTCTCTTAGCAGTCTCTGAAGCAGAACGCTTTCGTTCTTCTATGCTCGCACCTCCTACAATGGTTCCAAAAGCTGTATTTTCGCCAATCTACAAAACATCAAACTAGATTAGTAAGTAAAATACTTGTCTGAAGTCATACAGATTGCAAACCAAGGCATTTATCAAGCCACTGCAGAGTCCGATCCACTGAGAGCTTATTCCGCCTTTGGGAAACCCAGGTGGGAAGTTCGTCCGCTATTGAAGCCCACACATTTGGCTTCAATGCGTTGACAAGTTCCATGTACTTTGCAGGACCAATCTAGTGAAAAAATCCAGTTAAAACGGATCAAACAAGAACCAGCGTCGTGAAGCTCACCACACGGCGACCGGACGACGTATTAAAGGCTGCACCAAGTTTGGTGTTCCCTTCTCCGTCGGGTTCGCTTACGATTGAGTCTCTGGAGAGGGACACAAGGGCGTTGCCTTGCAAGTTAAGTAGCTTGTGTCCTCCACCAATTTCATGAATTGTGCTCACTGGTGGACCTTCAAGGCTGGAAAGAAATCATAGAAAGAAGACTCTATCCAGCACTGACAACATCACACAAGCGAAGCGAGCGAGCGAGCAAGAATCTATGAATGCAAATGGAGAAGCAAGCAAGAAAACACAAACCTATGAATGCCAAATGAAAACACCACGCACAAGCGAAACAACATCAATGCGGGGCTTACAAATGCACTGGATTGACGTGAAGAACGCGCGCATCTGGATGGAGCTCCGGCAGCAAATCCGTAGAGACAAACGATGGCAACCCTCGGCGCGTGGAGAGCAGCAGGCACGGCGTGTCCACAGACGCCAGCGCCGCCCCAAAATTCATGACACCACAGCGCGCGCCATCGCCTCCTCCCGCCTTGAGCGCAAACCTCATCACTAAAACCCCAAACCCTAACCTCTAAAAAGGAAACTCCAACGGTCCTCGTGGTCAAAGCATATCCGTCCGATTCGATAAATGCCAAATATTCGCATTTGCGTGATTAGGGTTTGTGGATCCGGGGTAGGAATGCTACCCCGCAGCTGAAGCGCGATGCCATCGTCTCCAGGGAAGAAGCTCCCAGCGCTGAGATTCCAGATTTACAGGGCCAGAGCGGTGTGCTTGCGATCCGGCGCGGGGATTTTCGCGGCGTTTGTTCTTGGTGTGCTGCTAACGCTGCTGGTGGCGCCGGGGAGATTCGGCTGGGGGCCAGCGCCATGCCACCAGGTCGAGGATACGTTTCGATCCTCCGAGGCGTGGAGGCCGGGTGTTCTCCAGGAGCCGCTGGAATCGAGGCCAAAGGTTTTGGGCGTGGTTGGGATCCAGACAGGGTTTGGATCGCGAGAGAGGCGCAAGGCGCTGAGGGAGACTTGGATGCCTGATTCTCCGGAGGGACTGGTTTCGTAAGTTCGTGCTCGTTTTGCTTTCTTCGGTTAGATTTTTTTTCCGATTTGCTTTCCAGCTTACAGCAATCGACAGGACTTGCCATACGATTTATCATTGGACACACAGCTGACAAGAGAAAAATGGAGGAGCTGGAGGAGGAAATCGAAACTTACAAGGATTTTATACGCATCGATATCGAAGAAGAATATTTGAAACTTACACACAAGACGTATGCTTGCTCAAAGCTTGTTTTTTCTTTTTCTTTTATGCCATGTTCTTCCTTGCGCAGGCTAGCGTATTTCAAGGCCGCTTATATGCTCTTCGATGCCGAGTTCTATGTTAAAGCAGACGATGATATCTATTTGAGAACCGGTATGCTAAGTTGTTGTTTTGACAATGCAAGTAAACATTTTGTTTTTCCTTTTTATTTTTCTTGCACAGACCGGCTTGCAACTTTGCTAGCCAAGGATAGATCGACACCGAGAACATACTTGGGATGTATGAAGAAAGGACCTGTCATTACAGATTCCAGACAGAAGTGGTATGAGTCTTTCATAAATTTTCTATTTCGCTTACGCGTTTAGTTCCGCGGAATACAGGTACGAGCCTCTGGCATATTTACTTGGCAGCGAATACTTCTTACACGCTTACGGACCAATCTATGCGTTATCATCAGAGGTAGTCGCTGCTCTGGCTATTGCTCGCAATGATAGGTACCATGCTCGCTTTGCGTTTCGCGACTAATTGCAACGCTTTCTTAACAGCTTTCGCATGTTCACAAACGAGGACGTGACCTTGGGCTCTTGGATGTTGGCAATGAACGTCAACCACGAAGACAACCGAGCGCTGTGTGAACAGACGTGTACTCCGACCTCCATTGCCGTTTGGGACATTCCAAAGTGCTCAGGCCAGTGCAAATTCTTGCAAGCTTTATTTGAAAATGACTTTACACTTACAACTTTTCTGCTTGACACAACAGGGCTGTGCAACCCCGAGCAGAGGCTCAGGGAGGTCCATCAACTGGATGCCTGCTCCAGGAGCCCCACGCTTCCAGATTAGTCACACAACTACAGGTATGGGCCGTTGCTGTCATTTTGAAGACCAAAAATATATAAATATCTTTCTTACAAGAGCTGTCGTGTTGTTACAGCCAAATTCTGCTCCAGGGTGCTATTTCTCTCAGCTGTCGTTTTTCTCCATTCTTCTCTTCCGTGAAGAGCATACAGACAGTCCAGAAGATTGCTGACGTTTTGCGGTGAGTAGAACAGTGAACAGTATCCTACTACCAGATGTGCATTAAATTCGACACACTTTCTACACAACTTTCGTTCGCACGTCTCTACTTGCTTGTTGTCGCAGTGTTTCGATTGAAGCTCGCATCCTGCAAAATTATTACACATAAGAAGAGCTTCATTCGTGCGAAGAAAGACTTACGATGTTCCAAGTTCTTGAAAAACTTCTCCGCCTCGCGTAAGTCCTCTATGATCGTCTCTGCTTTTCTAATATCTTCGTGTGTTGGTGTTATTTAATAGTGCGCGTCCTTGCTCTTCCTTGCCGACGGAGTTTATTCTCTTCCACTGGAGTCTTCGAGGTACTCTCCACTAAATCTTTGGTCTTGGACTTGGACTGCATATTGGAGGTTCCACAGGACGTCTTCCATCGAGGGCCTGGCGGTGAGGTCACTCGACAGGCACTTTGCAGCAATCTCCAACACCGTCGACAGAGAATCCTCGGAACAAGTTCCCGAGATCGCCGAGTCCACCATCTCCGTCCGAAACACACTGTCCGTCAGCATCATCTCCTGGAAAAGAAGCAAGATCTAAGTCCTCCAGATAGAAAACGAGGAGGAGGAACTTACGAGCTCTTGGACTTTGGGTTTCATGGCCATGGGATTGTCTACGGTTGGTGGTCTCCCGAGAACAATCTCGAGTAATATAAGTCCAAAGTTATACACATCTCTCTTGTCCGTGGCCAGCTTCCTGGAAAGAAAAAAAGAAAAGAAAGAGTGAGAGAGAAGAAAAGAATGGAAACTTTCCCCCATACCTGTTACTGTGATCCAAATCGATGTATGTGACAGCGTTGTGTGTGAAAACATGCTGCAATCAATCCACAAAGTTGGTATAATCACAAGAACTTTGGAAGAATTACTTACGTCGGATCCATACGACTGGTACGACTCGCTCTCGGGATGCCTGGCTAATCCAAAATCGCTCACTTTTCCTACAAAATTGTGATCCAGCAAAACGTTCGTGACCCTCACGTCGTTGTTGAAAATCCCCGGCACGACGCCCGTGTGAAGGTAGTGTATCCCCCGGCCGGCGCCGAGAGCCGCGACCAGCCGGTTTTGCCACGTTAAAGACTCCTTCAATTTTCGCTCTGGACGATCCACCAAGAGTGAGTACTGGAAAGTTTGCTAGACCTCGCTAGAGGAAAAGATGGAACTAGGAAAGGAAACTTTGCCAGAGAAATGATGGAATTTAGAAGAGAAAACTTTGCTATAGGAAGGATGGAACTTTGGAAGAGGAAACTTTTGCTAGAGAAACGATGGAACTTTTGGAAGAGGAAGGTAAAAATGGCACAAGAGTTTAGGACTTACTGAAGAGATGGCTGCGAAGAGTGCCATTATCGATGAACTCGGAGACGAGGTAGAGCCGCCGGTGCTGGGGTCCATCCTTCTCTCGCTCGAGGCAGTAGCCAAAGAGACTGACCAAGTGCCTGTGTCGGATCCTCGACAGGAACTCCAAATGTGCCTTGAGCTGCTTCATCTCCTGCCTCGAATCGATAACCAGGCATTTGATCGCGACCAGCGTTCCATCGTCAAGCTTTCCTCTGAACACCTGCGAGGAAAAGTCCGGCTTTTTAGTCCTGGAAAACTATGATCGAGAACTTTGTTCCTACCTTTCCATACTCGCCCTCTCCAATGAGTAAACCTTGGCTGAATCGACTCGTGGCCTCTTCCAGCTCCAGCAGCGAGAAAACCCGACACTGGTTTGGTCCGGTTGCTCCGACAGTCCCGGATTGAGCCAAGTATCCTGCAAAACTCAGACAAAAACACTCAAGAACAATGAATGGAAAGCACAAGCTAAAAGAACTTACTCGTGCTATGGAGGAGCTCCAAGGGAACTCCCACCGAGGCCGTATCAGCACACGAGTTGTTCGCACAAGTAGCAGCCGCATGCTTGAGCTTGAGCTTCCCTCTCTTGGAGAAGCGCAGGAGTATCACCAGCAGTAAAGCCATGGCAGCACCCACGGCCATGACTCCGCCGGCGATCCCAGCTACAACGCCACCTTTCCACCGCCGCTTGGATCCACCAGAAGAAGAGCCCGGTCCCCCACTTCCACCATCGCCAGAGCTTCCGCCACCTCCACTCCCACCACCACTTCCAACCGGTATCATCCTCTGCGCCTTGAGACAATACTCTTGCGGCTGCTGCTGCTGGAGCTGGATCTCCTGCCCGGAGAAGCAGTTCTCCTCGACATGCAACGTGATCCTCCCGGACCGCAGCTCCGCGGGGACCTCCCCCATCAAAAGATTCGTGGAGATGTCCACGTATCGCAGCCCGCTCGCCAGCGTCACAGCACTGGGAAGAGTCCCGGACAGCCGGTTGTGATCCAGCACCAGCGTCTCCAAACTTTGCAGCGAGAAGATCCATCCCGGCAGCGCCCCCGGGATGGAGTTGAGCGAGAGGTTGAGGAGCTTGAGCTGGGAGAGGCCGCGCAGGCTGTCCGGGATGGAGTCGGAGAAGCGGTTCCTCTCGAGGTTGGCGGAGACGAGGCCCTGGCCGAGGCCCGGGAAGGAGGGGCCGAGCTGGTTCCCGGCCAAGTTGAGAGTGCGCAGGCTCGCCACCCGGCTCAAGTTTGGTACCACGCCGGCCAAAAAGTTGTCCGAGATGGAGATGGTCTCCGCCACCCTCATGTTGGAGATGGAGTCCGGGAGCGCGCCGAAGAGCAAGTTGTGGTCCATGTCGAGCGTCTTGAGGCTGGCGAAGAGGGAGATTTGCGAAGGGATGGTGCCGGCGATCTGGTTGTGCGAGAGCTGGAGGGTGTCGAGGTTGGGGAGGACATTGAGCGCGGTGGGGAAGGTCCCGCGGAGGATGTTGTTGTCGAGGGCGAGCGACTGGAGGCTGCCGAGGGAGGAGAAGCGGTCGGGGATGGAGCCGGAGAGGAAGTTGGAGCTGAGGTTGAGGAGCTCGAGCGAGCGGAGGTGGTCGAGGCTGGCGGGGACGAGGCCCCAGATGCCGAGGGAGACGAGCGTGAGCGTGCGGAGGTCGGGGAACTTGACGAGCGTGTTGGCCAGAGTGATGATCGAGAAGTCGTCCGGGAGGCGGACCTGTGGAAATGCATGGGAAACTTGTTTAGTGGTGACCAAAGTTTCGTTTTTGATCGAGAAGAACGAGAGAGTTTTGTGACAAACAAGTGAGTAAAAGTTTACGTGAGAAGCAAAGCAAATCAATGATCAGGAAGAACATCTAGATCGAGAAGAGACAAAGTGAGAGTTTTGTGAAAAACAAGCC